CTTTTCAACAAGCCCTGCTAAGTGATTTGGTACTTGGTTTAAGCATTTTTGGTCTGGTACCTCTTTGTTTATGGGGCTCTTATCAGTATCTGTCACGGCTTCAACTAACTTCCCCAAGTGTGTGCCTGCAGCTAGTCTGACCTCATTAGGTGTTAGGTTAAGGATGCGTACAGGGATGTTTTCGGTCATGTTTACAAGCACAGATCCTGTGTGAGCTCCATTATTCAGAGATGCAGGATCCAGCACACCAACCAGCTCGTTGTCAGGTTTGTCCAAACACCCTGTGACTATTGTTTCACTCATTGGGGCAAGTGTGGTTGCTGAACTGACACTTACTCTTGCTATATGTACTTGATCTGAAGTACAGTCGCACCTGCTGTTACGGCCACCCTTAATTAGCGGCCACTCCTCATGAGCGGCCAGTTTCAACCCCGCCCGTTCATTTTTTCACTATATTTTAACTCATTTAAGCGGCCACCTGTCTAACGAGGCCAGTGGCCTGTGTTTTTAGGTCCCGTGCGCTCAACATGCCTGTTTTCAGCGGCCATTTTGTCTATTTTGTCACATGACTTCCGTCTGTCACGTGACCTCGTATCCTCATACGAAGCCAAACATGAACAGCTGATAATGAGTTAATAACCAATAATTGCAGGTTTAATTTGAATTCTGACAGAATTTAATGATTTAATTAATATGATTAAATGATTTATTGTTAACAAATGTTTTTTGGTGTTCTTTATAAATATACGAATGTAAGTTGTTGAATATGTTCATGATATAAACTCAATCCATTAATTACAATTTCACCTGAAGTTATCAAGTCAAGCGGCCAGTATCGCGTTTAACCTTTTATGTTATATAATTAAATACAAATCTAGAAAAACTAAAAAGCTTTACACAGCATCAGGGAAATGCTGAATTGTTAGAACATTTTACGATTTCGTGTGATGTAAATTTTATGGCTGTAAAAAATTAAATTAAAATTACCAACACACACACAAAAAAAACTAACAGATTTCTTTCAGAAAGTCATGTAAAATGAAATATTAGAAAAGGGATTCCATGTGACATAAAACTTCCCAAGTTTTTAAACTTGTTAAAATTGTGGATTTGGATACGTGTGAGAATAAAAATACAACTGCAATTTTTTATTCATTGGTTTAAAACCTGGAATAAGTGGCCACCTGTCTTATGTGGCCAATTTGTCATTCTCCCACAAGTGGCCTCTTAAAACAGGTTTGACTGTATTAGTATTCCCCAGGACAAGTTCCCCTTTAACTAATAAATCCCCCTGTCTTGCTAAGACTACAGCATCGACAGCCATCAATAAATCCATTCCAATTAGAACATCATCACGGATTGGAGCAATGCACACTTTCCAATTGGTTGTTGACTTGCCCAAGTTAATGCGTACACTGACATTATTAACTGCCATCATCTTATTGCCAGTTTCTGCATTAAGAAGTGTGACCTTGTTAGAGCAAGAATAATTCAAATCTACTTTTTTAACAAAGTCTTGAGATAGAACTGTAATTTCTGCACCAGTATCAATAACTGCTTTTGTTTTATGACTGTTAATTTGAACTGGGACTCTGATTGATGATCCCCCTTCCTCTTTTCCAATTTTGAGCATCTTTTTTTCATCGTCATTCTCAACTGATGCGTCAGCTTTTCTATCTGGTGAGCGTGATGGTGATCTGGGGCAATTTCTCTGAAAATGGTTTGTATCACCACACTTATAACAACCTCTTTGAGGAGATGGTGATCTTTGTGATGATTTGGTCAATGCTACTTTTCTCTCTATTAACTTTTTTAGTTCCATTTTCTCTTCCTTCAATGTTTTCTCTCCAGATGCAGCAGTTGACAAGGCTCTAACTTGTTCACCAGAATCCCCTTCTTCTCGTCTGTCTGTATGCAAGTCATCATATCAGGATACTCTCCTAGAATAGCGACGGTGCTGGGAATCTTCACAGCCCTGTAATTGTGCTGAAGTTGTATAACAATATCCAGTGCTGCTGTAATAGTTTTAGGCATTTTATTCAGGGCCTCGTATCCTATCCTTGGTTCAATGCTCACTGACGGAAATGCTCTGGAAACCAAGCGTCTGACTTGTTCAGCAAATTCGTCATCTGACTCTGATTTTTGCCTGATTTCCTCCAATCGCTTTCTTGCAGTGGTTGGAGGGTCTTTTCTTTTAAAACGATCTTCCATGTGCTTGAGTAATCTAGCATAATCATTCTGAACTTAAGATGGCAGGCTACATAAAAATTTGGATGCCTGGCCTCTTAAACACTCAATGAAACGGTCCAGTTTCTCTTCTGCTGACCATCCATAACGTTGAGCTGCTCTGTGGAAAGGAACTAAAAATCCTTCCCATTCTCCACTACCATCAAATGTTGGTAATTTTTGTCGAGGCAAATATTCTTGCCTTCCTTGTCCTACAGAAGCTGGGTAATGGCTTGTCTCAAAATTGCTAATAGTGTCCAATACTGGCTGAAATGGCACACCACTTGAACCAGGTACAGGAGTAGAGGTAGTTGGCCTTAAGTTTTGTCCTCCTATTATGCCTGAGTTTCTTGATATGTATGTTTGGTCTGGTCGTGACAGTCTGGGGCTGGCCCCTCGACTGCACATCAGTCCTGACATAAGATTTTGACTAGGTATTGGCGCCTGCCTGGGGCTGTCCCCTCGGCTCATTGAGCGCTCTAGAAGTTGTGTGCAAGTTTCAGTCATTTCGGAGAATAGCCGTACCTGTTCTCGCATCATTTCAAATTGCTTCTCCATTGCTTCATCTTGCCTGCGTAGTAAGGCATTGGTCATTTCTCTGACATGAATTGAGAGGCCCCCTAATTCTGATTCAACCCTCTCTAGTACAGCAATGGTCTTTTCTTCCACCAATGGCATTGATGTGTTATGGTCTTCCTGCAGTTCTCCCATGATACCAGTCTTCTGTGCTGTTGTCTCCTCCTGACTAGCCTCGTTTTTTGTCAACTTTACAAGTTGAGCAACTCCTGTGGGTCCACTGAAACTTTTAACACGTCAGGTGTAGGGTCACTCCAACACTCTTTAACGATGTCTAATTCTAGTCGTCGTATCCACTTCCTTGATAATAAATGGTCTGGATGTATACAGTCCTCCAGGAGATGTAAATTAATGGATTGTCTACCCTTACCCCTGACCTTCACAATATCCAAGTGAAACTGGAGAGTATTCCTGCCTAACGTGTCGTTCAATTCACAAATACTGCAATTGAGTAGCGTTACCTCCTCTTTGATTTGATTATCAGTACTTTGGAAAGATTCAGGATGTCTATGACCAAGATGTGAGTTGTATGCCTTAGCTGAGTATACAGGAATGGTAATGAACTTCAATGACCCTTGTTTCGAAGTTACAAACTTTATGAGTCTTTGAAATTGTTCTAATATGTGAGCAGTTGCTGAACCTACTTTATTGTAACGCAGTTCTATGTGCTTATGTCTGTAATGTCCAACTTTCTGTGTAATGTCACACACTCCCAATAGTACGTAAACAACAAGTGGTCTAGTTTCCTGGAATAATTTTTCAAGTTCCGGAATCGCCTTGTCGATAGCACTTGCAGTCGTTGCCCCTGGGTACGTAAGAAACTGCAGTGGAATTCCTGAAGAATTTCTGTTTCTTCTCAATGTATCTCCAAGGCTGTCTGAAATGGGTACTGGTAGCTTTTCACAGGAAGTTGACGGCACCTTAAGTGGATTTTTTTCCAAAAAATTTGTTATGTTTTTTGAGCTCATCAAAGTGAAGATAATTTATTTGTGACATAAAACCGATAACTGAAATATATATGACTTATAAAGAATACCGTTATAGCAATTTTTATTTTTATATTTTTTTTTAAAGTTTTTTTTTTAACCAGTGACTGTGAAAAATAAACAGAATGCGGATTCACACAATTCTGATATTTAATAACAACTTATAAATCAGATTGGCCTCACCCAGTACGATGCACGCGTGTCCGACAGAGAACGGGTTCACACTTCTCTGTAACGCAAGCACGTGGACTGGCTCAGCACGGAGAAACAGCGTTTTCTCCAAACAATAAAAGGATACACAAAGTATATGATATTAATAAACACTTCTGACACCAGTGTGGTGCTTTGGCAATGGTGTGGGTCCTAGTTTGGCACCACGTGGCTCCAAAAACCCGGGAGAAGACAAGAACACGTCCGTCAGCTTCAGAGTTTAATTTTAGAACAACGTTATGTAATTACTGAAACGCCGAACCCGACGCAAATACAAAATTGCACTACAGTATATAGTACCATGTAAATTTTCACCTATATATACTGTAAAAATGAACAGCACGTAGATACATGTATGTGCCAAACATTTACTTTTTATCTTGTACAATTGGTGTATTTCACATCACGTTTATTGTAAATATATAAGTAACTAATTACAAAGGTCTCTCAGATACTCCTGTTTTTGTATGTATGTGTACATAATAGATGTAATTCACTTGACTGTTAGTCCCGTGTCAGGACAGAATGCGTAATGTCATATATCTATTTTACTTTGGTTTGTTATGTATTGTAGATAGTCCTGCCTCTCTATGTTTCTGCATACACGCACTTTCTTTTCCCCGTAGTAAAATCCAACCCAGAGAAGATGAGTTTTGTTGTCATAACTCAGGCCCATTGGTCCATGTATCCCTTGTTGTCGTGTCAGTATCATTAACAGGAAGTGACCGTTCTTGTCAATCATATGAATTGCGTTGGTGTTACCATCACACACCAGGATGTGTGACAGTGCGTCTGTACAGATTCCTCGTGGAAATAGTTCTGATCCTGATGTAGGACCTGTGTAGAAGAAACGGTGTCTTCCTCCACGATCTGTCACTACTACACAACGGCCAGTGTCAGACACAATAACATCTCCATTCTGGTTCTCTGTGACGTAGATAGGATCATAATACAGTTTCTGGCCTGTGTTGCCATAGTGTATTGTCTGTTTGTGTTGCCCTACTTCATTGAAGCGTTCTTTTATGCCTTTTTTGTAAGACCGCATCCCGACCAGCAAATCGCCGTTGAGGTGGGAGGAGTAGATACACAGTGGTTCTGTTTCCTTTATCAGTGTATATTTTGCTATGTTATCTTTAGAGAGTTTGATAATGTTACTACCCCTGTCTATGTAAATAAGATCTCCGGTAAGGTTTACCGTGTGTTGTCCCCAAATTCTAATTACATCCATCAGATGATGTAGTTTGTCACCCTCCGTGTTTATCAAGATAAGATTTTTACCATCACTGATCCAGGCCTGGTCTGGTGTTACACAGGAAATATGATATACTGCACCTGACACAGGGACAGACCTGTGTAAAACAGGTTTAGACATCAGTTTCAGCAGACTTTCATTTCTTACTTGTCTTTTTCCTGTCTCTATGATTTGGATTTCACCCAGTAAATCAGTCACATCCTTCTTGTTTAAATCTTCATTCAAGCAGACCAGGGCGTATTTGGTCAGACTAGGAGTGTCCTTTAACTTGTGTACACGAGTTTTCTTTCGTAACATGATGAATTTTATCGGTCTATTAGCCAAATGGTAAGATCTGAGCTCAAAGATTTCTAGACTGGTAAGATGTCTGTTTGTTTTTCTCTTCTGGTGTTGTAAACTTTGAATAAATCTTTTGAGTCTGATTTTAACATCAAACATCACAGTGTCTATGAGGTTCCTTAGTTTCTGGGCTTTTATTAACATCTCTGACTGATTGTGGAAGATTTCTGGGTGAAAAGTTTTTGTATTAGATCTGATTCCTGTCAGAACAAAACTGTTGTTATAGAGAGTCTCACTTCTGATGCTTTGAATAGTTTCTCTGTGTTTTTGACGGTTTGTTTTGTATGCTGTTCTAATATCAATTGTTTGGTGATTTCTGTGTTCTGTACATTGGAAACAGATCGGAAGTTTACAGGAAAGACAGTACTCATGATAAAATATGCCCCGATGTCTCACACAAGTTTCTTGTTTTGTAATGTATTCATATTTCTCACGGTAAATCACAACATCGTCGTGTTTGGTGTGTAGATCAATAAAATGTCTCTCTTTACACGGTAGACAAAGGTCAAGTTTACATGTGTTACAGTAGTATTCTGTGTCCCCCTGACACTCAGAACACAATCGGACTTTACACTGGGTCCTGAATCTTGGATTGTCCATGATTTAAAGGCTCATCTGGTTGTTACAAAATCTGCCCAAATGAATAATTTACATATTAATGAAGCATTTCAAGTTTAAAAGCATCTTACAAATACATTTATTTAATGAAGTTAAGAAATCGTTAAAATGAACAATCTAAAAGTAAAATTACGTGTCACAGTACACAATAAATGCATTCTTTAAGTGACCGTCAAATCAGTCGACTAAACTAAATTCAAAACAGGAGGATGGAATCCCCATTAAGGTCTTTAAATTGATATCAAAGGCACCTGGTAATAAATAGCTTCTACTGTTCGTTTACTCCCCCTCTCACTCTCCCTTTCTGTCTCAACCTAGTCTAAATAAAGAATATCATAAGTTATCATATGCAGACCATTGTCATACATATAAAATCAAAATAAAACAGATATATTATTAATCACGACTTACTGTTCAAGTTAAAATGGAGTCAAATATCTTATTTATCAAATGTTTACAAATCCAAATATCGGAATAACACACCTCTTAAGAATTAAAATGCTTCTTTTTTTCTATGTGAGAATGCGATTCAAAGCATTTAACCGTGTACATTGTATTTAAAGTCGACGTAGATAATGATCACAGAAGAACAAAATGACTTTAAAGAACATACGGACTGCCTATAGACAAGATGTATGAAATAATGCTTTAACATGAGAATTATGTAGTTTAAATGACTGCAATAAAACATCAATATTATCTTTGAAAAAGAACTATATGCGGTATTAACCAACATTTGCCCCCCAAAATCAAACTTTGATGGAGTAATATTTAATTAAGTCCTTAAACAGGGGAGTATATGCTGACTTCAAAGCACTGAAAAATGTCATAAGTAATGACGTCATATGTACGTAATGACGTCACAAATGTGACGTAATTTCAGTTCTTTTATGAATTTTGCAGAAAAATGTACATATTTCGTCGATATTTTTAATAAAAGTCACCGAGCGCATGTGTGTTCAGGATAAATATTTTGATATAATGTGTAGAATGATAATATCAATGAAACATATCAATATTGTTCCTGAACATACATGCGCTCTATAAATTTTAAAGCTTAAATTGTTGAAATTTTGTCCATGTTGTCCTCTTTCTGAAAAAGGATATAAAATCGGACTAGTTTGTGACGTCATAAAAACAGAAATTGTGAATACACTGCTCTGGAACTATAATATTTTCTTTTAACTTATATTTCTCGTACAATTTATTGAATTCAGCACATTTCAGGAAGTTTTCAAAATTTGACTTTTGTGGGGGCAAATATATGCAATATACCGCATATAGTTCTTTGACGGTATAATTGTTTTATCCTTTTAACAAAACGAATGCATGTAAATTAATGACAGTATGTTCTCTCCAAGAACAATTAGACTTTTATTAGCCACAAGGTCAAAAACTGGATATAAGTTTTGTTTCAATTCATGCTATATGAAGAAACAGGTTTTTTTTATGAAGACCCATATAGCAATTTTTTTTTATATTCAACACAAGTTCCCTAAGACGTACATTTAAATTATCTCAATTTAATTCCTTCAAAAGAGGAGGAAGGAATATCAATTAAGGTCTTTAAATTGATATCAAAGGCACCTGGTAAAACCTAGCTTCTACAATTCGTTTACCCCCCCCCTCTAACTCTCTCTTTCTCAACCTAGTCTTAATAAAGAATAATTATCATATACAGATCGTTGTCAGATAGTCATACATATAAAATCAAAAGAAAACAGATATATTATTAATCACGACTGCCTGTTCAATTTAAAATGGAATCAAATAACTTACTTATCAAACGTTTACAAATCCAAATATTGGAATAACACACCTCTTGAAAATTAAAATGCTTCTTTTTTCTATCTGAGAATGCGATTCAAAGCATTTAACCTTGTACGAGGGTCGTTAGAAAAGTTCGCGGACACATTGAATTACGGAAAATCTATTGTGTACTGTGAAGTATGACCTATGTCTAAAAAAATTTCTACATTTTGTTTATTGGTATATAAAAAATCAGGTCCATATAATAAAATCTTGAAAATTTACAACGATTTTTATTATGAGGTTATGGGATTCACGGAGCAATCACTTGACGTAAGGCGACGTGACAGCCAGATTTCAACCTGTTAAGCTTTGTCGCAGTTCTATAAATCTTTAGATTTTTTTCTACGTTAAAATTGAATATCTATATCAAGACATGTTAATTTTCTTCTACAATGTCTTTTGTACTGATTTGGATATTATTGAGATCTTAAAATCCGTTTATGCAGTTAATCAGTTAATCGATCAGGAATGAAAACTATGCAAAAAACCATATAGGCACAACACAACGTCCATGCGATACGGGGGTATTGAAGTATCGCTGGAGTTAATCTTTCAAAATGTCAATCCTCCCATTCTTATGAAGCTACAACCATTTGAAAACTTTCCTTTGTAGGTGTATGACATCCCCGACAGCATCTTGAACATTTTAATCTCTTTTTATACATTTTCCAGCCTGCATACATAATTTTTACGTAGTGCAGTGCTCCATGACGCTCAATGACGTTCCGATTTTTGGCTGTGTTTTTACGCAATGATCATATACAAACGGCTATAAAACAGTCATATACCCTCCAATTTAGTTCAAAATTTCTCCCAGTTAAGTTTCATGAATACTTTAGCGGCAGGTAAAATATCATAAATCTCTTTGCGCTACAATTGTGCAATTTTTATTTTTAATAAAGGGACTTTGTGATGTGAACTTGCCAAAATGTAGCATGCTCCCTGAAGCAAGTTTTATCAGACTAAAAAAGCTGTATATTTCTTATTAATCACCGGAGAGCAACAATTTCTTGTATATTTATTGGAAAAAAGGTAAAGATTCTATCTGGAATGTTTGACCGCTTTTGTGGAAATAGCGCGCTCACAATTGAAAATGTCCGCGAACTTTTCTAACACCCCTCGTACATTGTATTTAAATTCGACGTAGTTAATGATCACAGAAGAACAAAATGAATTCAAAGAACATACAGACTGCCTATAGACAAGATGTATGAAATAATGCTTTAGCATGAAAATTATGTAGTTTAAATGACTGCAATAAAACATCAATGTTATCTTTGAAAAATTTGACGGTATTATTATTGTATCATTTTAACAAAGGAATACATGTATATTGATGTGAGGATAAAAGTTTTGTTTCAATTTTTTTTCACCGTTTTTTTTTAATTTGAAGACCCAAAGAGCAACATGTTTTATATATGAAATACAAGTACCCTAAGACCAACATTTAAATTCTTCAGTCATTATAGTTGTGATCCATTTAAATGTACTACGGGCATCATCAAGATAAGATTATCATTGTAATGTATTTTGTGAATCTTAAAGAAGCATTTACAATCAAGTGCAATCATTGGTTCTTCTTTAGACTTTAACAATTGCATAAAATATATATCTACACCCGTTTCCAACAGCTATGTTTCCTTAGTAAATATTCTAGATGCTATCTTTGTTGTCAGAACTGCTATACTATGTTCAGGTTGATGCAAAATTAATAGAGCGTTAAATATACAATTGTTTGAGCGTAACATCCTTCTCGAGACTAATTTCGTGTATATATTTGTCGTCTATTTGTATTTCAGTCTGTCTGTCGGTCGGTCGGATAGTCAAGCCAGGGAAAATAAGACATAAATAAATACGAGGGGCATTTCAAAAGTCCTGAGAACTGTTTGATAAAAAAATTAACCGATTTACGGATTTTTTTTAGTTTGATATCATTGGAAAGAACAGAAAAATACACACATATTGTGACGTCACTTTATAATTTGTATGACGTAATAACTCCGAAAATGACGTCATACTTCCGCACTCTTACAATACTGGCCATAAAAATGACGTAACAAAAGACACAATTTCATCAATGTAAAAATTTAAAAACAACTTTTGCTCATTACTCGGGTGCAAGCTATCGGACGTAAATGACAGTTGGTAGAATCTTTACATAGACTACAATCTATCATATGGTGGTCTAAGTCAGAGATATTCTTGTTCTGAAATGGTTTAAGCGATTGTCAAACATTGCATGTTTTTATCGAATCTTGCTCAAAATATTGCGTAAAACAGACCCAACTGTGAGAATAAGGCAAAGTTGGCAATCAAAGAAAAATAGACGGTCGTGTTACTAAATTTTATGGCATCAATTCGTCAGGTGTTTTAACCATATTTGTAGGATCGATGAAGGCTCAAGAGAAGTTAAGTTTAGTGTGCCCCATATTTTCTCGTAAAATCCAAAAAGGCGCGGGCGCAGTTGTAACCCCACCGTACCTCCATATATTCGCAAAAATTAATTCATGGAAATTAAATAACATTCTACATGTCTATGTAACTTGTAAACCTTTTTTGGAGTCAAAAGTCAAAAGCAGTACTGAGTTTTGGGGCGCCGAAGTTGAATTAATGAAAAAAATACGCACAGAAACAAGCCAGGGGCAAGACTTTTGTACAATTTATTTGTAAACGGTAAGAGTACTGTTACTCAAAATATATTTGTTGAAAACTGCATTAATATACTTTAGTTTTATACAGAAAATGTTTTATTTCATACAATGGAGAAGTATATAAAAGACCGAAAATCCAGTTGTATCATGTTACTTAAAATCTTGGATGAATGTCGATGATAGCATAACCGGACATAAACCGCATTAGTAAACAAATCAAACAATGAAATATAGTATTGTTGATAAACAGTACCAAACTCCTACTCTACTTCTTTGCAAATGAAAATTTTCTTTGAAATATATTTTCAAATAAGCCTTTGGCAGCACTTTTAAAATTGTGCCATGTGGATAAAAAAGCGAGTTTTCAGTATGCTAAACATTCTATTTTCTGACGTCATTTTCAGAGATATTACGTCATAAAAATTATAAAGTGACGTCATAATTTGTGTATATTTTTCTTCTCTTTCCAATGATATCAAACTCAATAATTTCCGTAAAACGGTTAATTTTTTATTAAACAGTTCTCAGGACTTTTGAAATGCCCCTC